GGGAAAGCTAGTGTTGGCACACTGATGGATGAGGATGGGGTAGGGATTTGAACTCAGGTTCAAGGTCAAAGTGAATGGCCTCTTCCAGTTGATGTTTCCTCCCCTCTACACTGCCCTCTCCCCAAAGCATGCTGAAAACTCCTCTCCATTCCAGTGATGCAGGCTTTATTTAGCACAGACTTTATTTGACTTTATTTAGCCAGTCTGACTCACCTGCTTTTACAGAAGTAGAAAGAGGAAGTTACCTGCCATAAAAAAAGAAGCTCTAGTTTTCTTATAACTCTTAAGTAAGACATGCTAACCCTCAGGTAGTAAGTCACCTTAAAATGAGAGCTGCTTTCTTCTCACCGTTTCGAATTTGCTTGGAGGCCTGCCCTTTAATAAGAAGCCAGATCCCACAGCCTGAAGCAATTAGGCCAGGCTCCCCCTCCCCCAGCTCTCTCCCTGGGGACAGAGAGCTAAGAAGCTGTTCCCTGTTATCTGTTGTTTCTACAGCTCCTACTTTTGGGATGGGTCAAATTTCCTCCAGCCACTCCATCGCCCCACTTATAAAAACCAGGTATTTTCTTCCTTCATCAGAGATATTTCTGTGAAGGCACATCTGGCCTTCCCACCCAGGGTGGCTCTATCTTCTTTTTCCTTACTTTTGCTTTAAGACTCTCTCTCTCTTTCTCAGCAGGGTGTCACTATGCAGTCTTGACTGATCTGGAATTCACCATGTAGACCCGGTGGGCTGATCTTGAACTCACAGAGGTCAGCTTGCCTGTGCCTCCTGAGTGCTGGGGCTACAGGCAGGCAAACACCACCACGCCTGAGTAAATTATGTCTCACAATGAAGCTCCTCTCCAGGTTTTAAAAGGAAGTCTCTCCTTCCCTTTAAAGCCCAAGTTTTGCTGTTTTTAATATATTGTACCTTTTTTCCCTAATGCTCTCCTAGGGCCCAATCACGTTCTTGATACCCTTTCTTCTAGCTAACCTCATTCCCGAAGGTCAGCTACATGTCAGCTCCTTTCCCAAACCAACAGTAGCTGATCTTTAATTTGGTATTTAACAGTGGAGCCCTATGGCATTGAAACTGGCCCTTCACTAGAGAATTATCTTTAGAAGTTCAAGTTTTGCTTCAAAGAAATGCATAAATTGTATTTCTGATTGTACCCTGCAATATTTGCTCCCTGTATTAGTCACTTTTCTGTTGCTGTGATAGAAACACTGACCAAAGCAACTTAAGAAAGGAAGAAATTATTTGGGCTTATGGTTCCAGGGAAATTACAGTCCATCATGACGGGAATGCATGGTGGCTGGAGGTGGCTGGAGCCTAAGGTATGCTCTACATCTTCAAGCAGACACAGGAAACAAGAACGTGATTGGAGATCCAGCAAGGCTTAAGAACTTTCTAAGCCCCACCCCTGCCCCGCCTCCCCGGTGACACGCTTCCTCCAGCATGGCCACACCTTCAAAGACCTCCCAAAATAGCACCACCACTGGGGACAAAATGTCTGAATACTTGGAGCCTATGGGGGACATTTTCATTCAAACCACCACACTCCCATACAGGCACAGCTGTATTTAAACACCAGTATTACATGATCTCAGCTGTCTTTAGTGTTTAGCATGAGTTCCAACATGTCGAAGTTTAACCTCTCACAGTGGATATGGAGTAGGCAAAAATTTTACCAAGCTTATAATACTAGTTCTTCTCCTCCTTGCTTAACACACCATTGGCTAATGGTGTCATTAAAGAGACCATAGAGAACAATGCTCTCTTGTGAGCTCAGAATTCCCTGTGCAGCATTTTAAAGAATGAATGTGAAGTTTCTTCTGCCTTCAGCAAAACTGCACCTGCTGTCTTCATGCAGCTGAGTATATGTCCTTCTACATGTATGCACAGTGGCTCACATAATTTATTCAAATATTTCTCTTTTTTAGCTTCACATTTTAAAAAGTATTTATTTAATAACCACACAATCAGAAGAAGCATTTCATTACAACAGCATTGACATATTCAATAACAATTTCCAGAGATAAGATGCATCTCCTTAAAATTGGCTGTACATTTTTAGGTTTACAGTTGAATTATTACGGTTATACAATATTGTACTCAGTATAAAACCTATAAGACATAAAATTAAATGAGGTTTTAAACTTTGAAAAGGATCTCCATTTCATTATTAAAATACACAGTTTCATACAGAAAAATTCATTTTCAGTGTAATGGACATTAAGATGTTTGCACATGTGTTTCTAATCTCTGTATATCTTATTATTACTAGTCACAGCTGGTTACTTTCTGAGCTCCTTGGCATCTGAGCATGAATATAAAGTAAAATCAGGTAGATTTCAACAGTAATGTTTTTCACATCCACCAATTATTAAGGAGCAAATTTTTATGCTTTGAAGAATTATTATTTTTTTGTAATCTTTTAAAACTTTATTTAATTTTACACCCACTTCCTAGATACCACCCACCCATAGCCTCCTTCCCCCCACTAGAGCCCTTATATCCCTGCCTGATAGCCCTGCTACTGTCCCTGTCGTCAGC